AATTCGGACTGATTTATGATTGGCCAACATAAAAAAAAAGAATTGTTTTGCTGGTACATTCCTGAGAACCATCATAAAAATGTATAGTTGGAACCATCATGAACCATCACAGATCATCATGGATTGTTGGTCCATGAGAATCAAACTTCTCCTGACGGTTAACCATCAGAGTATTAAAGTATCATTTTCCATCATGGCATGATGGAAGTCAGTTGGCATATCAAAAACCATTAACGCTTAATGGATAAATTTTTATGATGGTGACCATCAAATGATGTTGGACCATCATGAATCGCACTGAAAACAACATAAACCATCAAAATGTTGTGATGGGACCATCAAGAATTTTGACTTGGGTAAATATAAGACTTTAAAAATAATTAAAAGAGTGGATTAGGGGAGTTGGAAGCGATTATTTTGCTTTAAAAAAAGCACGAAAATTGACCTTTGTTACATTAAGGGCACTGAAAAAAAGAAAGAAAAAAAAACTTCATTCTGACTTGATAATACACCTGTACGCATATCAGAACGAACGATACGAAAGCCACTTTGGTTGTTCCCCATATGAGGTACCCAGACATATTTTTCAACTGTAAAAGGTGTCGAATGAGTAGGTCTGGTAATGCCCCCCCCCCACTTTCTACTGAGGTTCGAATATTTTTTTCCCTAATAAAAACTGCGGTAAACACATCGTACGAAAGGTCAGAGGGTCGGTGAACTTGAATTCATAGTTCTATCTCTCAATAACGCTCTTGCAAGCACCCTAGTCTACCCCCACCATTGTGCCCCCTCCCTCTTTCATTTTATTATTTGCTTATTTTTTTAAGTCTGTTGGAACGCTTGGGATTTCGAGAAAAAGAAAGTGTGTTTATTAGAGCTTGTAAGCCCGTAAGTACTAAATACAATGATCGTCTGCAACCACTTACAGAAGTTTCGAATTCTATTTGCAATAAATGGAATCTTTTTATGTTTCGAAACGCTTCGTTTTCCTTATCTTTTATTTTTTTACTCTTCTTCCTTTGCTTGTATTTTATTACCTTTGTTCTAGAAAATGGAAAGTATCGATATAGTTTCATCATTTGAAAGAAATAATTTATGGCTAATTTTCTTTAAAAAAAAAGACTAATTAAGAAGTAAAGATAATTTATTAACAAACGATTGAGAAACAGTTCTTTTTCAATCTTTCAAAACATTATTGAACTTCTCATAAAAGGAAAAAACGGAATTAGTTATAGATTATAATTTCTTCATTCTTCGCTTACTTTTTTTTTATAATTTTAAAGTCTACGCATAAAAAATAGTTGATTTTTTATCAACAGAATTTTTCGTCCCTTTTAATTCTTTTCTAGCTTCAGCAAATTGAGTGAAATCAAACGACTGATGATTTTTTTTTAATTAGTGAAATAAAATTATATCAGAATCGAATAACACCCACTTTAGCAGGGCTGTTTGAAATGCAGTAAATAAATCGTACGAGTACTTGGCAGTACCTGAGAGCGAGTACTTTTTACCTTGATTTGATCCGGAATTTTTTACAGCATTCATCGATGTTAAGAGGACGCTTTAACAAGGAAGAAATTTTCCACGGAAAATTCTGTTTCACTACCATTTAATATTTTAAAATACAGAAAAAAAAAAGTTAGTATAAAAAAAAAGAAAAAAAAAGCTTTTTTATTTACACTAAGTGTGTCAAATTATTTTTCACTTTGTATCAAGGGAATTAACATTTTTGAAAATGATCGTTCTCACTTAATGTATCAAGAGAATTTAGCATTTTTCAAAACAGTAGTTTGCGCTTTGTCAAGAAAGAAAAATAACTTAACATTTAAGAAGCATCAAGAAAATTAACATTTCTCAGATGGACAGTTTTCACTTGGCATGATCAAGGGAATTAACATTTTTCAAAACCGGAGTTTACGCTCGAATAACAAAAGAATTATTGTCTAGTTTTTCCAGAAAATATACTACAAAAATATATTTATTTAGAAAAAGAGTGCCTAACCTCTCACGATCTGCGCTTTCTTAGAAAATATGGTGCTTCATAAGTGATCTCCCAAGTTGTGCACGTGAAAAGGTTCCAATAAAGACAAAAGACGTCAACCTGCCAGCACAACCTGTATTGCAAATTGGTGTTGCAAAGTGCAACCTGTGGTGTAATTTGTTTGACCTTCTTACGGTTCTCTGAAGATCAACTCTGAAAAAAAAAGGAAGTAATCTTTAAAATTTAAATAAATAAATAATATATATAAATAAATGTAAGAATATGTTTATAATATGTATGTATGTGTCTTGGTGACCACCCTTATCTATATACATATTATACATATTATACATACTAAGTGTCTCATTTAGACTTATGAAACACGATAGATATGCATGTATATCAAGAACACAAGAAATCATCAATTGATGCACATTGTTGGAATCTTGGCCATAAATTCAATTTCAACAATTTACAAAATTATTTCCACCTTAGTCGCATCAGCTCATCTTGATGCCTTGAAATCTTTTTTTATTCATGCGAATGCTGATTCCCTTGTTGACGACACTAGTTCCACATCACTTCTTCGTTGAGCATGGAAATGCCTTTCACACTGATTTGCCCCTCTCGGCAACTGTGATTTTTTTTGTTCTGTTTTTTATCTTTTTTTTTTCCGCTCGGCTACGGTGATTTTTTTCCCCTTAAGTTTTGTGTCCCACAATACTTTTTGAATGTGTATGCATACCAGATACTTTACATCATTCTGATATATTTAGAACTGTTTACAAACAACATATTGAAAATTGACGATTAGAACTTTTCGGACAACCAATAATTTACGACTTGGGGTGTACAACTGTGGTAGTTAGAACATCCCACTACACTTTTGAGCCGTGGTGGTTCAGAGGATAGAGCGCCTGCCTCCCAATGAAATGGACTGGGTTCGAGTCCCAGCGATGGCTGGCCGATACGAATTCTGCACCCTGCTCGCATCAACCACAGTGCTGACGAAAAATATCCTTAGTTGTAGACGGATCATGGGTTAGAATCCCCTTGACATTAAGTTGACCGTGAGAGATTTTGTAGTTTTCCTCTTTATCTAGCACAAATGCGTGTTAGTTCCATCAAAAAGTCCTCCACGAAGGCACATTTCTTCTAATACTTGTTCCAGGAGTTCTCTTGTCTTCTGGATCATGTTCAAAATTACAAGGCTATGGAGTTGAACAGTGGTAGTCGTAAACTCAAAATTGGGTCTGCTGTTCAACGACGGTTTTTAATANAAAAAAAAAAAAAAAAAAAAAAAAAAAAAAAAAATAAGAACAATAATTTAAAAATATCACTCTTTCTCAAACAATTTCAACTTTGTAATCATATAAAGTTGCAGTTGTTCACCATGTCTCCCGAACGCGGAACCCCCAGTGTTTAGTAAACAAGCATGCTTGGTACTCATTTTATCAACCCACTAAAAAATTATGCAATTCTAATTTCATTATAAAAAAAATTTTGATATTCTATTAATGAAAAAGCAAATTTCGGATTTTTATATTTTCAATGTTTTGTTTAAAAATTTATCTTATTCTAATATTGTTAATAAAATAATTCTAATGTATTTAAGGGGAGGGGGGAAAGAAGAAAAGAAACAGTATAAAAAATATTTAATTTCAATATTGTGAAAAAATCACATATCAGTATGATTACTTATTATTATTATTTTTGATTTAATCAATTGGTTTTTTTCTTTTTAACATCTTTAAATATAAGAAAAATAAATTTTTTAAAGCAAATAATTAAACTCTTTTTTAGTCATTTTTTTAAATCGAAACCGTAACCAATAAGGTGATTGAGGCACTGATATTTACACATTTCCATAATAAATATTTATTTAAATCTCTAAATAAATTTCTCCTTAATACTGACTGGCCACTTAATTTATAATTGTTCTCTCAGTTGACGAAATTAAGTTATTTAGAAAACAAAAATTAAATGATTAATAAAAAGAAATTAATTAAAGTCAAATGTATATTAATTCAGGAATTAATAAACATTTAATATGCTTCCTTATGTCAATAAAATGTTATGTACTTCATGTTAGGGAATAAATAAAAGTCAAATGTAATTAACCATGTAGAGGAATTATTAAAAGTTAAATGTACATCATGTTAAGGAATTAATAAAAGTTCAATGTGCTTAATGTTAAGGAATTAATAAAAGTTTAATATATTTCACCATGCTAAGAAGTCATTAAATGTTCAATGTACTTCACCACCGTATAAAGAAATTAATAAAAGTTTTAAAGTATTTCACCATGTTAAGGAATTAATAAAAAAATTGAAGTTATATTAATTCCCTAACATGGTGAAATACATTAAACTTTTATTAATTCCTTAAAATTAAGCACATTGAAAATGTTCAATGTGCTTCATGTTAAGTAATTAATAAAAGTTTAATGTATTTCAATAGGTTAAGGAATTAATACGAGTTCAATGTGTTTCATGTTGAGGAATTAATAAAAGTTTAATGTATTTCACCATGTTAAGAAATCATTAAATGTTCAACATATTTCACCGTATTAAGAAATTAATAGAAGTTTAAAAGTACTTCCCTATTAATGAATTAATAACATGTTCTTCATCATGTTAGGGTAGCAATATGAAACGGTTAATTTAAACTTATATGTTCCAATATCGTATAAAAAGTAAAAAGCATCGAAAGGAAAATAAATAGCCTACTATTGACCAAATGGTTAAGTGTGAAGAATATCATATTTAAAAGCTCCTCCGAGAAAGGATGTATATATAAAAAAAAAGAACGCAAGACTCAAATTTAAAACGTGAAAAGCGAAAGAGCAAATAGCGATCAACTGAAGAAGAAATCAGTGATAAAAATAAAAGGCGAAAGGAGGCATCATCATAATATTTTAAGAGAAAGGGCAGGGCCCCGACCGACCCCACCGCCGATATTCGAAAGAATGAGAGAGAGAGAGACAAGTAGGGCGTACGCGGCGGCGGCGAAGAAGTCACCCGCTTCGGCGGCTTGCCATGGATAAAGAAAAACCTGTCAACACTGGCATGCGAAGGTTCAAGCAGGTTCGGTTTGTGGCGCATCTCCACTGCTCTAGGGGTCGTGACGGGAGAAAGGGGGAGGTCGCAGTCACGTGACACGATCGGGCAGGCCTCGCGCGTCCCGCCTCTTCGGATCTCTCTCTCAGTCACAGTCAAGTTCGCCTCTGGAGTTGAGGTGGTTGTGTTTCGTTGCTAGCAGAGAGAGAGTCGCATGTAGTAAACACACCAAAAAGGGCGCAACAATAAATAAACAAAAGTGTGTTGTGTGAGTCCAAACATGGCGGCGCTGGCCGTTACGCCCTGGCGAGACGGCGGCGCCGATCTAACCGGCGGGCCGCCCCAGGCTGTCACGCCGTCCAGTTCGGACAAAAACGGCGGTCAGCAGCAGCAAATAGAATGTGTAGTGTGTGGAGATAAGTCCAGCGGAAAACATTACGGACAGTTCACGTGCGAGGGCTGCAAAAGTTTCTTCAAGAGGAGTGTCCGGCGGAACCTGAACTACACGTGCCGGGGCAACCGGAATTGCCCCATCGACCAACATCACCGGAATCAGTGCCAGTATTGCCGGCTAAAGAAATGCCTCAAGATGGGAATGCGAAGGGAGGGTAGGTTGCCAGGTCAGCTATGTTTTATTCCAATGTGTCACCCCCCTGTGTTTGGTCCCTCAAATTGACCCCCCAATCGAGCGCACATCCAATGCCAAAGTACCCATGAACACCTGTGGGTGGTAAGTCGCATTCAAGGTCATCCCCCTTGTTAACAGGTCATGTTTATGGTGACCTTCAGTTCTGGGGTTTGACCTTAGCTAATTTTTACTACACCCACTTAAAAGTGATCTTTTACCATGATTGGATTACTTTAGGGAATCAACTGAATTTTAAATCGTTTACCATGTTTAGGAAACGAATAAAAAAGTTTTTGAAGCCAGTTAGAAATATATATCAAAGACTTAAAGTTCCTTACCCTTTTTTAAAAAAATTGATAACAAAGTTTGCGTGGGAAATTAAAAATATTTTCCATTTTTTAGGAAATTAGTAACAGGATTTAAAGTTTTCCCTGTTTAAGAAATTCATAACTAAGTTACTTGATAAATGTTTCTTCTTAATAATAAATAGGAAGTTAAATTTAAATGCCATTTAAAAAAATTTTGAAAATATATGAATAAGAAAGAGATTAGTCAGAGAACCATCTTAGGGAAGTAATAAAAGTAAATGTTCTTAAAGGTAAATGTTCTAAAAAAGTTAATGTTCTAAAAAGTTTTTATTATTTTGAATAGGGATGGTAATGAATGTTTATTGTTGTTTACCGTGTTGAAATGAATAACAGAACAATATGTTATTTCAAATTTAATGTTCGATATTGAAAAAGATTGAATGGCATGTTTAAAAAATTCGTTAAAATGTTATTTTAATTAATATGACGATTCAATGCTTAAAGAATATTATAAAAGACAAACTTTCTTATATTCTTCTTAACGAACTAAATTAAAACTTTTTTAAAAATGTTTTCTTTTACTTGGGAGAATTTGTTTTCTTCTGTTTAACTAGTATTAATGAAAGCATTGTTTGCTATATATATGTTTTTTAGAATTATATTGATTTTATTTATAATTTCTGTAATAAATAGGTGTAGGATATACTCAAAATTGGTATTTTAGTTTGTTTTGACCATTAACCAACTTAATAAATTATAAATTAAACAAGTGTTGGTTTTTAAATACGTTTTTTTTTTATTTGTTTATATCCGCTTTAGCTCGCTATAAGAAAGTCTTAGGCAGCTATGTTCGTACAATAATTGTTATCTAAAAAAATAAAAATTTTAGACAAATATGATTATAGTATTTAATTACTCTGTTTTGAAGAAATAATAGTTTTAAACAATAGTTTATTTTCGAAATAAACAATGACGTGGTCTCAGTTAATATACATAGTAAAGTATGAGATAAATTGTAATATTAAGATGTTTTGGTTCATGAGGTTTCCAATTTTTGAAATAGTGATTGATAAAAATATAATTTATATGTGCGCTCGCATAAAAAATTATTTATTTTTATACCTATTTCCTGTCCTAGCCTAAAAAATTTTAAGACAATTTGTTTGTTTAATATGTTTTGATTTATGTGATTTCCACTGTTTAGAATTCAATGCTGACTTAACATTAGTTTTGATTTGAAACCTATTGTATTTTGAATAACATTGCGCATGTCTAGATTTAAATATTTTATATCTCCTCCTATTTCCGTTTCAAATCTAAGCCTTAGCGCGAATAAACATAACGATAGCATTAATAATTTGCATTAATTTTGTTTTTATCACAATAATTATTTATTTTTTTGACATAATAATTAGGTTGCATAAGTAATGTTAAAATCAATACCTTGAGTTAACTTTGTTATCTATTTTCTTACATTTTTACTACTCTATTTAAAATGATTACTTTTAACTTAAATCCAAAATCTGAGAATCCCAAAATAAAATAGTTTTATATGTTCAAACTGTAGCCGAAAATAATTAAAAATGGAAGAAATATTAGATGAATAATTGTTTGATTGTTGTTAATTGTGTTTTCTTGTTAATTATCATTCATAACTACAATCCTTTGTTTGGTAAAAACGTTTAATTCTGAATTATTCAATTAGTGAAATATTTAAATGGTTTTTCTAGTTTGATTTTACCAAAATATTTAACTAAATTTATTATTAGTAAATTTATTATCAATAATTGATATTAATCTCGATGTCTGTTATCTTGTTATTAAGAAAGTAATGTTAATAAAAAAAATTAAATTCTTGATTTAAATTTTACGTGTTTCAGTTTTTTCCGATTAAATGCCTAAAAAAATATCTCCAAACAAGTTATTGTGAAAAATATTTAAATTTGTCAACTGTCGTTGATTCCGTTATTATTTTTAGTTTAATTTGTAAAGGTTATATTTTAATTTGTATTATTAATTTAATCAACTTAGCTTGAAAGTTTCAATTTGTGCTTTGTCTGCTTAGGAAACAAGTTTTTATAGTGTAGCTAGCTTAAAATTTTTTAATAGTGAGTAGATACTGATAATCTAGTTACCGAGTAGTTGTTTAACAAATATGATTAATGATTAAATTATGGATATATTTCAAAATAAAATTAAAACAGTTAAAATCAAATGGCTGTGCTATAGTTTTCAACTTTGTATTCTCAAAAACAAATGTAATTCGATTTAAAAATAGACTTTTGAGTTAAAATATTTAATTTAATTTTGGTATTAATTGAATTACAAATTTTATATGTGTAAATATCCAGTGCTTCTAATTATTCTAAATATTTACATTATCAGAACTATTGAAGTTGACGCTTGTTACGAATATCATCATTTCAAAGTTTTAGTTTTTTTTCCTTCCCTTTTTATTTAATTCTTTTTTACTTAAATCTTTTGTGTTTTGAACTTTCCCTTTAGCATTTTTTTGTTGTTGTTCATTTTGCATGTCATTAAAAAAGTAGTTATTCTTACTTAGATGCTTTGCTACTAGTCCTCGTTACTTAGTTTTTATTAAATTTCCGCAAAATATACCTGCATTGCAGCGTAGGTGTATGTCCGAAATAATTGTTAACCATGCCATATTTTTAGTATATTATACTAAAATTAATTTTTGAAACCAATTTCATTCATAGTAGAGATAAATATATGTTTTAATAAAGTTTCCTTTTATAAAATACCCACAATTTTGAAGTAGGTAGTCATAAGAAAATTTATTCCCAAAAATAATTTCTAGCATTAATATGACCTCGATTCTATAAAAATAATAAATAAATAATTCAATAAAAATAATTGAAAAAAAATATTTAGCAATAAAACTCAGCCACCATCCTATTAGAAATAAATTCCTAAAAAGTTATTTTGCTCAAAAGTTAGAAAGCTTTTTATATTTTGCGTTAAAAAAAAATCCTTCTGTACTGGATTAGTGAGAACATGAGCAACTTTCTTTTTTCGGCCTTTCAAGTTTGTGGGGGGCTCTTTAAGGGGTTTCGATTTTTATCTGCAGAATTCTAGTCCCCACTACAGAAGATGTCATTATCTAGGGGTGGGAAGAGGGCTTATCAGTGGTCTTAGTGGCTTATGCTGATAAAAAGATGCAATTCTTCTTTGTTTTGAAATCGGAAACATTTAATGATATTTTTTTTTTACTAGGCCATAAATACCACAAGGAATTTCAGCATTGCCATTTAAGCTTTAAGTTATACAGAATGGACCACGTTTTCTGGCTTTATCATTTTAATTATCATTATTATTTTGGTAAAAAAGTTTGCGTGGGAAATTAAAAATATTTTCCATTTTTTAGGAAATTAGTAACANATATATATATATATATATATATATTTATATTTTTTACTTAAATCTTGTGACTTTTATTTTCTTGCCGAAGTTTCAGTCTTTTGTTTATATCCAAAATAATGTTTGTTTTTTTAAATTTTTCATTTATTTGTATTTACTATAAGGTTGAAGTGCTGACTTAATCGTTTCTTAGCATAAGTAATTTCTGCGTTGTTAGTGTGCAATAGCATGTAAAGAACATTAATAATTTATTTCTGAAAATTTTAAGAAGTCTCTTCTTTCTCATAAGCAATTCTTTCATTGAAATGTTCCATTATGAACTTCAAATGATTCCGAAAATTATATAGTCAATCACAAATAAACAAAGTTTGCCACATAATTAAATAAAGAATTTATCTGTATTAATTATTAATTTCGTAACTTTATCTAACCTGTTTTTTAAACATAAAAGTTTTCAAAATTAATTTTTTGAAGGTAAAAAATTCACCTAAATGTAATTTTTTTGGATTAATTTTTAACGAAAATTAACTTTTGTATTTACGAAGTCTAGTCTGTATGGTTTAAAAAGTAATCTTCAAACTTAAAGGAACTGCTGGAATTTATTTGTTAATTAATGTGTAATGTAATTCACCGTTTTTAAAACCGAAAAAAACTTAGTTTTCTGCATTATTTGCAATAAAAATTATTACATTCTATTCATGTCTCTTAAAAAAAAAAATACTACCCTTTATATAAATTGATATCACTTATTAATTTCGAAAATACAAAATCATGCAAGTGCATAAAATCAAAGCCAACCCCCTATATTTGATTTGCTTTAAAGTTGTATGGTAATACATCATTTCTTGAGCGGTAAATATAATTGTCCTATATTATTTATGCTTGCTGTGATATGTTCTGTGGTAGATGGTTTTTACGCCCTTCCTCCAATTAAATATGAATGGCTGGGATAGCCTGGTTGGTAGGGCACTGGGTCCATGTCCAAGAGGTCTTGGGTTCGATCACCGCCGACTGAAGACTCCCCGTGTAGTAAATGGTGACTGATGCACGTTAAATCTGTCGGGTCTCAAAGTCTTCCCTATTCCCATAACAAATCATACCTCTGGGGGCACTGATCCAGGAGTCCCCTTGTCTTCTGAATTCGTTCAAAATTACAAGACTACGGAACTGAACATTGGTAGTTGTGAACCCAAAATTGGGTCTGCTGTTTAACGACGGTTATAAAAACAAAATATTAAAAAAAAAAAATACGAATCAGTAAAATCCAATCTACTTTAAGATATTTGACGAAAAATGTAAAAAA